CCCCGAGCAGGCAGGCAACTAAAACCAAAAAAACAACCACTTCCTGTGCAACCTTGTGATGAATAAAACAACGTCAGTGAAGTTGAACAAATTGTCGAACGTAGCAAATTACAGATTGTTAAGCTGGATTGCAAATGACGAGCGCAAATGTAGTTTTGCCGAAGTTGGGAAGGTTGTGTAAGTACTCCCGTTGCTTTGAGGAGCACCGACTACAGGAGTAGCGATCAGGACGTTTCAGTACAAAGGTGAATAACAGGACAGTAACGATGAATGTAACTGCACAGGTTATGTAGGAGGGATCTTCCTATCATTCTCCGCTACGGTAGCCGCAGCATGCAGTTTCGGTGCTGGGAAAAGAAATAGTGGGATTCCGCTGGGTGGCATTTGTGAGTCCGCCACTGGGCAAGTTTACACGGTTCAACAGATGATGTATGCTGGACATCACGGCAACCTGCCTCATACCTTTTTATCACTAACTTCGTGCGGTTATATAAACATGTCTGAAACCTTTGCCTTTACAAGGTAATAAAGAACGACAAAATAGAGCAGCACAATAGAGAAAGACCAGTTATGCGGATAACTTATGCGTACGACGTCTTTACGATGACTTGTTTTATGGTAATGAACTGGTGAAAATCGAAACTATTATGACACTAACTGGTCTCATTCGAACTCTTTTCCCTATCAGTTGACACTCATTCCCGTGAAATTACTTGTTACCGTATCCTGAAGAAACTATGCCGTACAGCTTCTGGACGCATTTCTATTCAAACCTATTTTCCGACAATAAACGCTTCAACTTACGCTGACATTTCACATTCGCATGCATAACGATTGGCAGTAACTACCACAAACAGCTCTCTGTTTGACGGAAACTCGCTTAGGTGGTAAAGCGGATCCAAAAATTAGGGTGAATTCAATTTGGCAGACGCCAAAAAGTACTGTGTATGTTAAAAAGTCGCTATCAGGGCTTGAGGTTATTAAAGAAGGGAAGGTGGGAGCAGCTGATCAGTAGGTACGATAACTGATCCAAATTGACCTACTTTTCTCAGCGGAACAACATGGTCAGACCAAATGGGCTTTTGGACGAAACTGAAGTACTTAGCTGGAAACTAAAACTTCAGAATATTGTTTCACACCCATTTGATATGAATAGCTAACCGTCGAGAATCCTCAGAGTTGCTCCTTCTGGTCAAGAAAATTATTTATCAAGTCTTAAAATTTACGGCATTACTTGTGAGCAAGAGATCCAGCGTGCCGTCTAGTTCATGAATTTATTTTTTTACTTGTTTCTGTGTGAAAGGTAAACCGGACCTGCCTAAGTATTTTAAGCCAAACACTGGTCTTACAGGCACCTGACGCTATAGCTTTGGACAACATTTACACTTTCAACGGTTTACCCGGTCTTCTGAAAACGCTAGTGAACACACCACCCATCCGATCTCCTTAAGATCTATCGATTTGATGGTGCGTACATTATCTTTGCATCCCATCGCCACCGAATTTAATTAAAAATGTGTGTACAACAACAATTAGCACTCTACCCATGCAGAATTGTCTTTTTTCTATAGAAAACATGGTACAATGAGGTTATCAAAGTCCAAAGACGTGTTTACTCATTATGATCCCATGGGTTTCTGCTCTTCTTGAATGTAAAAGAATATGAATTAGTCATCCCTAAAAACACTAAAACGGGCACAAATTGGGGAATGGAAACATTCAAGTAAACAACTGTTGACGCTAATTTTGCACTTATTTAGCGATCACTCAACTTTTACGCTGTTTTAAAAGTTTTGTAATCCTTTCCACCATGGTCCGCCTTGCACTGCGTGGTTCACATTCCTCCCCTGGTAGACGCTGCACATCAGAACCTTTTTCCGAAATGTTGTTCAGTTTCCTTTTTCCTGGTGGTTCGGTAATATGTGACATTGATGTTTGACAATTTTTGAACACATGTGCCTCACAACGCGTGTCACAAGAATGTTTCTGCAAAGCCTCCAACATCCTCAGGTTCAGTGCCACTGGATGTGGAGAGGATATCATGAAAATTTGTACTCCACAGTTTCAGAATTATTTAATTCTGTCACTCTACTCATGCGCATTTTTGCCCCCCTGTCCAATATAAGTGAACATTTTAAACACCTGTGTGATGGTGCAATTATTTCGGTTACATTATAGCCAATATTCATCCGAACGTACCTTACGAAAAATCCCAATAACTACTTTTTGCAGCGCTGTCATTAGCAGTTCACAGATATTTGAACCTCATCCCTAGCTTACGCCCACTAAGGAAACAAATTTTTATTATCGCTATTATTAAATAATATGTCATGTAATGAAGATCGTCTGCGTAATTTTTTGGGAAAGGTATCCCTTTGCCATGTCTGATTACGGACTGGCCAATTCCGGTGACTACCCGGTGAAAATGTACGCATGGTTTTCGTACCTTTGCATTCTAACTGAGTATCAGTTGATTCAGTGCTCAACGTGTTTCAACCTCCAAGTATTAGGCCATCCAGAAAAACTTAAAAGTAATCTTGAAATTCAACCTACGTCGTCACAACTGCAAGCCTAACCACTCATCGAGGTTTTATATTGCAGGACGAAATTATTGTTTGGAAAGGGTACATCTTGGTGATTGAATCGAACAACCCACTGCTTTGTGTGTTATCCCGACGGGTTTTCAAGGATTATTGGATCCAGAACTCTCGAACAAAAGGTTTATTGTCATACTGGGCCAAAGGGAAATCTAGCGTGAATAAATGTAATTAGCAATCAAACAACAATTGTAGATCTGCGTTTAAGAGTTCAGATCAGTGGCCATGACCTTTCTTTTTTGTATCACGAGAACTAGTGGTTTATTAATCTTTCTGATTTGTGTTACGAGGGGTTTCGTAAAGAGGACTGGTGAATGCCACCTTGAAGGCATCCAACCTTCTGAAACCCACCACCCCAATAATTGTCTAATGCTCGTTAGCGATCTTCCGGATGAGATCTCCTGGCGCCCAAGTGACAAGCCATAACCTGTGTGGTCTGGCAAGTTGGCAGTGGGGTAGGTTCTTGCAAATGATGCTCGACGATGATAGTGCCATACCGCAAGCCGACAGGAGTGTGGAAGTGTGGTCGACTCTATTCCGACCCTCTGATAGACCCGGAGGTCCTGAGTTCGGTTATTGAAGAGGTCTTGGCCGAACGCCTCCGAAGAAACACTTGCTGGGATGAAATAATTGGCCAGTGCTTCAAGGTTTTCAACAGTTCTCCAATCGATTCCAGTTCATGATCATTGTCACTTCGAAGTTACCAAATCCCAGCAAATCTTCGGGCCACATTATTATATACATTCCATCTGAATTCTCAGGATGATAAAACATCTAACCATCACATGAACCAATAATGGAAATTAAGTGTAGGTCTTGATAGCACTAAAGGTGCCATACATGTTGAGCATCCTTGTTAACTTCCACTTGATAAACAGGTTTACTTTGATCGTTCCCCTTGTCTTCCTAGTTTTACTCTATGTGCCTACGTGAAGGACAGATGTTTTTGATCGACTCTCGTATTCCACCACCAGTGTTTCGGCTAGCGGGCTACGCCCAGCCCGTATCTCAGACTTTATTGTCAGCAGTCACCATCATTTAGATGCCACGAATACTTATTGTGTGGATGTTCCGGATTCCTCGGCTTTTAAACATGCCTTTACCTCAGACTTTCCTACTAGATGTAATAATCCAACGATTTAACTAGCGTGTAATCATCAATGGATTCTTAGTTTCCACCTCAGGTGTGCATAGTTATTTGGATTGGTAGAAACAAAAGTAGGCCAAGATTGCAATACCATTAGGCAGAAGAATGTTTTGTCACCGCAGTAATGCTGCTTAACAAGTCTGTTTAGGCAGCCATGTTATGTGAAGAAAGGAACAATATGCAAACTGCGATCACAAACCTCTGAAAGACACTGTATCCGCGCAGCAATGCACACCGGCCAGAGTGGCTGTTAATAGTATTCCATTGATGAACACTGTCACCTTTATTTGTTGACAGAATAGTTAAAAGTTGATAGTGAGGCATAAGGTCGAGGACTTCATGATAGTAGTTGTCATAGAGTGACGTCATTTTTAACACCGAGGCTTCGAATATGTGAAAGCTTTTCCTAATTACTTTATTCTATTATGTGAACGACCCAAAATCAATCAAAACCTGCTAAATAGCAGTTACAATATTCCCGAAACTTCCTCCTACATTGGCAATATCTTGTTTGAGGTAATGAATTAGTGAGCTCATGGTATGCCTCACAACTGAAGTGATACCAGGATGGAAGCTGGGTCTCCAAAGAGTCTTACGATGAGAGTTCCGATGAAACGTAACCCTTCTTACTGCCTCATGGCAGGAAAAGTGTTCGTACACTCGGATATGATTTCCTCAATGATGTATTTTGTGGTTACACCTTATTTATGACGTTTCTAGGATTATTCGAAGATTCGGTCTAAGTCATTCGAAAAACTGACTTCATATGAAATGGAATTTCTTCCCAATGGGTGGTAAAAAGCTGGGAAGTCTTGCAGGATCAGATAGCATGACCTCATTCATCTGGTACGTCCAATGACAAAATGCATTTATATGATTTAAATGTAAATTAAAAGGATTGTCACGAATCAAAAAATGCACTAATGGAAACTAAAACTCATTTCATATATATTGAACATTGTCACTCACTGGTTATATTTTCATAATTTGCGTTACCGCAGGCACATGTAAGGCTTTCGAAACTTCACTCTTCTGCCTTCTAGTCTCGATATTCAGACTGTCTCACCTCTTCCTGATTTTTTTGCAGTTTTTCGACTATCTTTTAATACTGAATATAGGAGCTCTGGTGTTTGCTGAGTCGTCGGCTTACGTCTTTCTAATCTCTCCTAGTTTATTTTGGTTGCTGCAACACACTTACCTGCAATAACGTTCCTACAGGCTAGGCGAGAACCTGATAACACTTGGTCATCATACAGATGTTGAAGCAAAAGGAAGACGTTCTTCTTATGGTAAAGCATGTTCGATATAAAAAGGTCGATGGAACACTTTACGTTAATTCCGGAAGAGTGGCTTGGCGGAATCAAACATCTGACAGTTTCCGAATCAGTGCGAAGTTTGAAGATATCAGAATGCAGAGGATAAGTCCTGACCAGAAAGAGAAAGTTCAGCTCCAGTTACTGATGCATAGTGGTGAATCCTTTACATTTCAATTTTCGGACCCTGGTGGCAGACAAAAACAAATGGAAATGCGTAACAGCGTTAAATCAATGTTACAGAACCTTTTGCCTAAATTTAAAGACAAGGTAAGCTCTAAATCTATAAGTTTTTAAGTGATATGAACTGGTCACCACGTGATGACTTCTCGCTCGGTTCATCAATACACTTAGTCTCATTCAAACAAATGGTGAAATACTCGGTAGTCAATAAGCTTTTGTAGGTTTGCTATTCTTAACGTTGGTTCAAAATCTATCGGTAACCTCGCGTCACATTCAGCTTAGTCTTTCAACTTGATGTTTAGAAACAACTTGCGTCCTAATGTTTCTTCTGTGATACATTTTTTGATTACAATTTACCTAGTTTTACCAAATTGGTCACTTGTTTGAGGTAGATATACTAAGCTGAAAGTAGCACTATTTATAGGGGCATGTTCTGTCATTCGTCTACCGAGTTCAAAGTTATCAGGCTTTGTGTGTGCCGGTCGTCTAATATTATGTAGTCAGTGTTTAATCCTATGATTTGCAACCCCATATAAATGCATCCTTACTTTCTATTTTTCACCTTTTTACCATCTGACTAGACATAAGTCTCTTGAGGAATTCCAGATTTCATGTATCTGGGCATTCATTTACACTAAGTTACGGACCACTGATACACCGGAGCACATGGTTTGCATCTGTTTTTACTTTCTAAATGAAATCAAACCCTCACAATATTGCCACTAGGAACAATTAGTGTAAATCATAATCCTAATTTTCCCTGTCACTGATGACCAAAATCATAGGTCACGGGAAATGAGTTCACTGTTGACTTCCTAGTCGGATGACGTCACTGTTAACTAAACTGACTGAGCATTGCTATGGCGTAATTCCATTGAAATATTTACCCTTCCTGTTTTCTCTTGTGAAATCACCTAAAAGGATGGGACTCTGACAACCTCCCAAGACAGGTGGCTACATTGCTGAGCAGAACACTTTGAAGCACAGTTCAACTGCTTCACATCAGCGCTTCAGTTACCCAAAATCTAGCCTAAACCTGAATAGGACGATGTTGGTCGTCCAACTTTCTTTGAAGTTGAGAAGGCTGTATCGAACCTGAAACGGTGCGAAGCAGCAGTATGTGACAGTTTGCCACCCGACGTTTGCAATGATTATTAATATTATTTTTCCTTTGGATTCCTAGTGCAACATAGGGCTTCAGCAGCACGCCTCCATTCCACTATGTTCTCTGTAGTCTTTTGAACCTCGCTCCACGACTGCCCACAACCTTTCATTTCTTCCTCACACGATCCCCTCCATGTCACCCTCACCTCGGACGCCCACCTCGTTTCCCCTTTGGATTCCACTCAAGGACCTGGCGCGTGATATCCCCAATCGGCCTTCTCAGTGTATGCCTGATCCAATTCAATCCATCCCCACTTTCTTCTGCATATTTGTTGGGTGATGGATTCTTGGTTGGTTCGTTGCCAGCCAGAGTTCTTTGTTGCTTGTTCATAGTATTCTGATCATCTGATCTTTATTATCGAGCGTAGGTAGCTGTTGATCAATGTCTGCAGTTTGTTGGAAATGCTTTTCGTGACGCGCCAAGCTTCTGAACCATATAGCAGCACTGATTTCACTGAATTGGTGTTGAAAATCTGGATTTTGTTCTTTGTGCTGAGTGCAGTAAATCTGCACACTGATCACAGATCAATGAAGGCCTCTCTTGCTTTTCCGATCCTGGCTGCTTTGACATCCTCGTCTGTGCCGCCACCTGTGGTTGAGACGATGCTGCTCAGACAGGTAGGTGAAACAGACTACTGCCTTTAGGTTTCTCCTGTTGATGGTGATTGGTGCTCGTTTTTGGTTGGGTGTCTTCATCACCTCCGTCTTCTCTACATTCACTCGAAGTCCCGTTTTCGCTGCCCTGCCTCTTCTGTCAACTTGTTAGTTTTCACCCGTAGATCTTCGAGTTTGTGAGACACTAGACATAAATCATCATCGTTATTATTTTATTTTATTATTAGTCCCTTGGGTTCCTAGTGGAACATAGGGCTTCAGTAGCACGCCTCCAGTGACCTCTGTTCTCTGAGATCTTTTGAACCTGGTTCCACGACAGCCCAGAAGCTCTCATTTCCTCCTCGCACGACCTCCTCCATGTCACCCTCGGACGTCCAACTCGTCGCTTCCCATGGGGATTCCACTCGAGGGCCTGACGCGTGATGTCCTCAGTCGGCCTTCTCAGTGTATGCCCAATCCATCTCCACTTCTTCCTGCATATTTGTTGCGTGATAGGTTCTTGGTTGGTTCGTTCCCAGAGTTCCTTGTTGCTTATTTTTTCTGGCCATCTGATCTTCAGCAGCGAGCGTAAGCAGTTGTTGATGAATGTCTGTAGTTTATTGGAAATGCCTTTCGTGACGCGCCAAGTCTCTGAGCCATACAAGAGCACTGACTTGACGTTGGTGTTGAAAATCCGTATCTTGTTCCGCATGCTGAGTGCAGAAGATCTCCACACTGGTTTCAGGCTAATGAACCCTGTCTTGCTTTTCCGATTCTGACTTTGACGTCCTCGTCCGTCCCGCCTGTAGTTGAAACAGTGCTTCCTAGATAAGTGAAGGAGGTTACTTCCTTCAAGTTTCTCCCGTTGACGGTGATTGGAGTTTGTTGTTGTTGTTGATGGTGGTGGTGCGGTATCTTCATCACTTCTGTCTTCTCTATATTCACCTGAAGTCCCGTCTTAGCTGCCTCCTCTGTCAACTTGTTAGTTTTTGCCTGCAGATCTTCAAGTTTATGTGACATTAGGCATAAGTCATCGGCGAAATCCAAGTCTTCTAGGTTCTTTTCCGTCGTCCAGTGTATCCCCCTCTTCTCGCTGCCTACTGTTTGCTGCATGATCCAGTCCACCACAATTAGGAATATCATGGGGGATAGTAGGCAACCTTGTTTCACTCCTGTCTTCACTTCAAAGGCATCACTGAGCTTCCCATTGTGGATTACTTGGCATGTGGCATCTTCATATAGTTGTTGAATGAGGCGGATAAAGGTTTGCGGTACTCCGTAGTATTGAAGCAGTTTCCAAATTACTTCTCGGTCGACGCTGTCAAAGGCCTTCTCAAAGTCGATGAAGTTGAGGTATAGAGCTGATTGCCATTCTACGCTCTGTTCTATGATGATACGAAGCGTTGCAATTTGGTCAGCACATGATTTGTACTTCCTGAAGCCTGCCTGTTCCGGTCGCAGTTTTGAATCCAGTGCGTCTTTAAGCCTCTCCAGGATGATGCGGCTTAATATTTTACTTGGGGTGGATAGGAGAGTGATTCCGCGCCAGTTCTTGCAAGCACTGAGGTCTCCCTTCTTCGGCAGTTTGACAAGGTAACCCTTCTTCCAATCGTCAGGTACCTTCTCTTCCCTCCACACCTTCTGCAATAGTGGTGTGAGCATGTCCGCTGTTGTCTCTGCATCTGTTCTCAGTGCTTCTGGCGGTATTCCATCTGGTCCTGCTGCTTTCCCGCATTTCAGTAGCTTTATGGCGTTCAGGACTTCCATTTTCGTTGGGGGATTTATGTTCACTTGTAATTCAGCGGCTGCAGGTGGTATTTCTGGACGAAGTGCAGGTGGTGGTCGATTCAAGAGCTTCTTGAAGTGGTCGGCCCATCGTTTCCTCTGTTTCTCTTCTTTTGTAATTAAATTTCCTTCTTCATCTTTTATTGGTTTCATCTGTGTTGGTCTCTTCCCTGATAGCAACCTGGTTATTTGATACAATGTCGTCAGGTCTCTCTTACCTGCAGCCTGTTCTGCTTCACTTGCCAGTGTGTCGTAGAAGTGTCTTTTGTCTTTGCGTGCACTCTTCTTCACTTCTTTATCCAGTGTTTTATACATTGTGCTCAGTTCCTCTTGTCGTTGAGCATCCTTGCACTGGTTTATCTTCTGCTTCACCATCCTCCTCTCCTCTATCAGCTTCCAGGTATCCGTCGAGATCCATTCCTTGTCTTCTTTCTTCTTCCTTCCTAATACTGTTGTGCAGGTTTCTTTCCACATAGCTTTCAAAGACTTCCAGTGTTCTTCTACACAGGTTTCTTCAGGGATGTCCCTCGACGTCTCCCATTTTGTCTTGATGGCTGCTTTGAAGATCTCCTTTGTAGTTTCATCCTTCAGTTTCCGAGTGTTGTACTTGAATTGAGGTCTATCACCAGCTTCCTTGAAGGCTTTTAACTTGATTTGGAAGGTTCCTTGCACTAGATAGTGGTCTGAACCTACATCTGCTCCTCTTCTTGACCTTGTGTTAAGTAGACTGCGTCTCCATTTTCTTGAGATTGAGATAAAGTCGATTTGGTTTTTAGTGTGTCCATCTGGTGAAATCCATGTCGCTTTGTGGATATCCTTGTGCCTGAACACACTGCCTCCAATCACCAAATCGTTGAATGCACAGAATTCTGCAAACAATTCTCCATTCTCATTCATTTCACCTAGCGCCTCTCGACCCATGGTTAGTTCTCTTCCCGTGTTGTCCCCTCCCAGTTTGGCATTCATGTCGCCCATTAGAATTTTGATATCGCCAACTGACGTCTTGTCCAGTGTTGACTGAAGTTGTCTGTAGAATTCCTCCTTTTTCTCTTGCTCTGCATTATTTGTAGGTGCATAACATTGTATGATTGTGACCTTTCTTCCTTTTGAGTTGAATCTTGCTGTCATGATCCTGGAGGAGATTGGTTCCCACTGCATGAGAGCCTTCGATGCTCTTGAGGACATCATGATAGCCACTCCCTCAGTGTGCTCGTGGTTGGCGTCTGGGTGACCGGAGTAGATTATTGATTCTCCCGTTGACAGTTTGGAGAGTCCACTCCCATTCCATCTGCTTTCGCAAATCCCAAGCACTTCGATGTTATACCTTCTCATCTCCTTTGCAATCTGGGCTGCCTTACTGGGTTCAAACATCGTGCGGACATTCCATGTCCCCACGTTTACTTTCGCTTTCATCGAGAGAAGACACATCGGCCAATTGGCTTCCCGAAGGCTTTCACCAACTGGCGTCATTTCGCCTCTCCGATTCCAGCGGGGAATAAGTTTGTTTTCATTTTTTATATTTTGTTTGTGCTTTGAAGTTTCTT